CAAACTGTGCTCCTTCTGGTGCTATTTTTTCTGCTCCAGTTTTGTAGTTTGTGCTCCCAAATTGTGCTCCTTCTGGTGCTATTTTTTCTGCTCCAGTTTTGTAGATTTGTGCTTCCAAACTGTGCTCCTTCTGGTGCTATTTTTTCTGCTCTAGTTTTGTAGATTGTGCTTCCAAACTGTGCTCTCTAGTTTATTCCTCGCGGAGGCCCGATACCCAAAAGCTGGACTATGTGAGTTTCTGACTCGCGCAGCACTAGAGCGCGGTTGCGGCCTTGGAGATTCTGCTCGGAGCACGCAGTTGCCGCCTGGGAGTTTCTGCTCGGAGCACGCAGTTTCTGCTCCGCTCTGCTTGCAGCGGCCCTGCCTCTCCATCTCTGGCCACTCTATCCAGCTGCAGTCCTGAACTGCTGCTGAAGGTTGCGCTGGAGCCTGATTCCGATTCAGAGGGAGGCTCTGAATGATGCAGTGCCTCCATCTCTGTATCATGCATATACATTGCAAAGCGACAATGATCAGCCTAGCCTCCCTCCTCAATCCACCGAAAAAAGTGGACACAAAGCCGATACGATTGTCGTCTTACCGCATTGTCGTAGCAAAAGAACGAGAGGTAGCAGCAGCAGCACCTGTATTTGTATAATATTACTAAGTTAGCAGTTGCATTTTTTGCCAGATCCGAAAAATTGGATGTTCGACCAGGTCGAGAATCATGGTCTTCTAGTGACACTTAAAGTAGTTGTCGCTTTCGTCGTGCTGTTGCTGTTGGTAGTGGTCGTGAAGCTTGGAGAATGGAAGAAATAAGGGTGCAATACTGAATATGGAACTGGTAGTGGTAGTAGTAGTAGTAGTAGTAGTCGTCGTCGTCGTCGTCGTCGTCGTAGAAGCAGTAGTAGGTGGCGGTAGTGTTGCTGCTGGCGGTGTTGGTAACGGTGCTGGTGCTGGAGGCGGTGGTGATGCTGGTGGTGGCGGTGGTTTGGGAGGTGGCGGTGGTGGTGATGTTTTTCCCGGTGGCGGTGGTGGTGGTGGTGGCGGTGGTTGGTGATGCTGCTTCTGCCTGTGGCGGTGGTGGCAGTGGCGGTAGTGGTGCTGGTGGTGGCGGTTCCGGTGCTGCCAGGTGGGGTTACAAGTGATGGAGGCCCCAAGTCGACAAGCCCAGTCAGGCTTATGTTCTTGTGCTTTTCCATTTATATAAACTAGAGCAGGGGGGCATTTTCCAACTGTTAGTGGGCCGGGGCCGCACCCAAAGTACCCTAAATAGTAGGGATCCTTATTATAAGGACCCCAAAATAGGGTACCCCTAATTTTCGGAAAGTCCCACAACCTGCAAGAACCCGCAAGACGAAGACCAGATGCCAAAAACTCTGAGACGAGTCGAGGCTACAGTCTGAAACCATCGAGCCACTACCACCACTTACTATGACCTGTAGATCTTACCTGTAGTCTCCATTGTAGTTCCTTTTTTTGGTTTAACCAATTATATAGTAAGGATTTTATAAGG